CAACTGAAAAACAAGAACAAAATTGAAGGATGCACGTTGGAAATAATTTATTGCCTATAAAACGTTAAAAAAATGCTTAACTTCACATTTTCTGTGTGGTTTTAAAGGTGGTGTCATGTTTCAGAGGTAGTGTGTGTAAAATGTAATACAGGATTTGTAAAGAATTATTGACTTCGTTCAGTAAATACAGTAAAATGTTCACCAGAACCAAAGCACTGACCTGAAACCATTTTCCTTACAGGAACATTCTTAAGCGTCTCTTTTATCGAAGAGGATTTCTCATTTGTTTAAAAACAAGAACAACGACCACAAGCCCAAGTTTCTGCCCCATTTGTGTCTGTCGTCTTCTGACCAAAATGTCAGCTGCTGCCTTTCAGAGACAAATAAATACTCTTTAGTCAGAATAAAACCCTATTCTGCCACGGAAAACCCCAGTTTTGTTGTACTGCTTATTCTTTTTTTTTTTGTTCACAACTTTAACGATTCCACATTTGGCCAGTGTGCTAAAAAATACTAATTGGATAGAGAAATCAAACTCCATAAACCATCTTCTGGGGTTTTTTTTTAATAACTGGCTGGAGTTTTCTCACTAACCACCCTCTAACTTGGATCAGACAACTCACAACTGAGCAACTTACTCAACCTTACGATGATTCGGGGCAGAAAAGGCAGAACCTTGAAACGCAAGTTGAAGGTTAGAGGGCTGCCAGTCCTTCTGACGCGTAAAGCAGACTCATGGTTCACCAGCTGACCTGAAGGATCTGGGCAGCGGGACTGGAGGTAGTAAATCAAGCTTTTGGTTGTAACGTTGCAAGTTACGAATTCTTCATGTTTCAGATATTTTGTGCTAATTCCGTCTATGCATATTATTGTCTTTCCTTATGCTATCAGTATCCTGAGACCAACAGTCAGCTATGACTCGAGTACCTAGGGAGAAGTTAGTGCTGTGCATTAGTTTCTTTTCAATGTTACTAATACAGTAGTGCAATAGGGATCCCAAATTTAAGCAGTAATTTCCATTTCCACAGTAAGGATGTTCATGATACTGTTGATTTGTCCTATCCTTTCAACTGTATAACCACAACAGTAGATATAGCTGTCTCCGTTTGGTGACTGGACTTGATAAGCTGCTTCCCAATTTAAGGAGATGAAGGTATAACCGGTACATTCCTTTTTTTCACTCAAGAGGACTGCAAAGCCCACGATCTGCTTGTCATTTTCAGACTTCTTATTGCCTTAGCGAAAAAGAAATACTCGGAAAGATTAAAGTGCAGTGCTGCTTCAAGAACCAAGCACTCAAGAAAATTGACACTTGTGTGGTACATCTGTTCCTGTACTTTTAAATCTGCCCAAAATTCACCTATTAGAATATTTACTATTACTCACTCCTGTTAGACCTGTAGGCTTGACAGAAGCATCATCTGCAGGGAAATGAAAGGAGGCATAGCTTCAGGAAACAGCTTTCTTAACTATAAGCAAGCTTGCTAGCATCAAAGACTTTCACTGCTCCCTAAGGAGAGCGAGAGTCCTGTCTCTGGTTTAAAGTGTCTGTTCTGAACTACCTTTTTCCACTTTGGTTGCTTCAGAAAGACATACTTCATCATTCATGTTCCGACAGATGCATTAGGAATAAACAATGCCGGGGGAAGTCATCTTTCATGGACAAAGCAGAAATGATAAAAACATCAATACATGGCACATCTGTAGCTGTTACTCCAATTACAGAGGCAAACCACTGAAAGAGCAATGGGGGCTTATTTCTGTCATCATAACGCAGCACAGTATTAGCTTTATCAGTCATGGGAAGTCTATGCAAATGATGAACTAGCACTTAACGTGAGCTTTTGTTATCACCCTATGAACAGAGGAAATAAACACAAACCCAATCCCAATGTGTTGTGGGTCTACAGAGCCATCCCCATCGTTTTCCATCATCTGAAGAACTTTCAGACTTTCATCTGGAAACGAGTGTCCCGGTGCCTGTGTACCAGCACGTGACCCTGCCAGTGAAGCTGGGGAGCCCAGGCTGGAAAGGAACACCCCCCAGTTCTCTCGTGCTGTTCTAAGGTGAACAAGTCACATGGATGGGGATGCAGTCTGCAAACCCAATTAGCACATTACGTTGCCTGCGAGGGACACGAGCAAACCAAAACCACCCTCTAAATTACAGAGCAACGTGTGCGGTGCTAGTCTGAAGCGTGATACTTGGGTATGTATGTTCAGAACTCTTAACCATCCTTAAGTGTTACATTAAAGGCCCTCACAAGCTGCTCTTCAGCCACCATACTGCAAAACTATTGTTGCTGCAATAATTAAAAATACCAGTAATGCTAATATAACCTTAATTTTTTTGTTTTATGTATGGCAGGAAATATACACCGATACTGAAAAAAAAAAAAAGCAGAACAGCTGAACAGTATTATCCTATATAGCATTTTGTTATACAGGAATATGATTTATACTCTCTCTTCCTGAATATCCTGTAATACTGTCAAGTGTCTCAGGGTATGACAACATGACTACCTGGCTGTGTTTTGTCTTGTCACCCTACAAGAGAAAAGGACCAAAGAACAACATGCCCATAGGGATGACGGGGGCGTTGACTGCAGCTGAAGTTCCAGCTGCACATCCCAGAGGATTCCAGCTTCCTTGAGAAATGGGACTTACAGAATTACGTGAATCTGGTAGCAGTTCATTCAAAATTAATTCCTTCCATTTGTTTGGCATATGAAATAGAAGCAAGACGTAGCAAAATATGAATCACCAATTAAAGTTTTTCTTGTATAAAGGTGGATGACTTAATTGACCATAAAAATCAAGAACTCTCATTAAGAGTATCCTGCCTTCTGTCATGGGAATTTAAAGTGGAAGAAGCAGGAAAATAGGGTCCAAATAGTGGCAAATCACAGTACTATGGGGTTTTTTTTTATTTCAGCAAAGCTCACAGAAAACAAGAGGTTTCATTGTCACTGGCACAAACTTCCTATCTAGAGAGAACAGAAATAGAAAGCATTGTTAACCCAGTATAGAAATCCCTTTATACTTTTTCAGATTGAGCAGAATTACAGTTGAGCTTTATCTTATATTTGAAGGATAGTACTGTGATCTTTGCTCACAAAGCTCAATTTTATACAGGTGGTCATTTCAACAGGCATGTAAACTACCACTCCTCCTCTGAGTAAGGCTGGAAGGACATGTCTGCCAGCCAGGATGCCACACTTCAGCTCAGGCAGTGAAAGGATGAGCAGCCTCCACGTACCTCCTGGTTACACAGAGTGCCTTCCCCCTCTCCTGGGATTCCACTCTGAGTTTTAATGCCTAAACTCAAACACAGTTGCCCCACAGCTTGCTTTTGCAGGGTTACTCTGTAGAATAGATGGTAAGAAGTCTTTTGGGAACTGACTGAATTGTAGAGTAGTCAGAACTGTGAAACTGGTTTGTGTTTTAAAACTGCTTGTAAAACTGCTACTGTCCTTTCTGCAGCTGGCATTTAACAATATTGCTAATCGCTCCCCATGCCCAAGGACAGAGACAACCCCTCTCCTGAAAACTCACTACAGATACTAAAAAAAAAAAAAGCTGTCGAAGTGATTAAGGAGGAAGAGACCAGATGGAGAAAAACTAAAATTGTGAGTTAATCCTAGTATTAAAGAATAAAAGAAAAAAAAAAAGTGTTATTTCCCCAACACTGTATTTTCTGAGCTACACCTTGGACCTCCCACTGAAATTAAGGGGATTACGTACTGTACGGCATGAATAAAGGATGCACCAGAGTAAATTCTTATTTGGCATAAAATTGAAAGATCAGGCTTTTAACCAGACTGTGAAGGTATCTGTTTCAAAAAACGCTTGCTGGGGAATATTCAGATTAGAAGTTATGAAGCATCAATAATACGGGCATGCACCTACATGCCCTAATGTATTTATCTGGATGTGTCTGCACATCCATTTAATCAGATGAGTAAGGGGATTCAATGTCAACAGCAGCTGGGAAAGAAGAAATTCATTTCAGCCACTGCCTGCAAACAAGCTCACAGTTTAGAAATGGCACGTGGCAGTTGCCAAAAAATTCGTCAGACAGGGCTACTTCAAAACCAGGTCACATTTAGAAGATCTGCAAAACTCAACTGCAAACACTTGAATACCTTTCAGGACACAGTGACAGCTGTGGATTTATGACAGTGTCTTGATAAAATGGAGCAAAGTTTGTGGAAAAATATCATTGAGACTGAAAGCAACGAACAGAACTTTAGCATTCAGACTCTGACAAATAAAAACTGTAACTACATTCATAAAACCCTAACGAATAGTGTAAACATCTAATCCCATTGCTACTGTGAGAGTATCAGAAAGTTGCATTCTGCAGCTATCAGGTTTCCCATATCCATCTAGTCTGTTACAACACTAATGACTGCTTCTTTACATTAATAATTTATTGGCGATAATTCAAATTTCTCAGCCTTTCAAAATTTTTCCAGCTGTTTTGGTCAGAAAAGGGAAGATTCAACAATCTGAAGTCGCATAATGAAAAACGCTTTAGTTTAATTTCAGATTTTTTCAAAAGGTTTCAAACAAAACTCATAAAAAGCCCGTTATTCTATTTGGATCCCCAATTTTTAGTCCACCTACCTGAGTAAAAATGGGGAAAAAAATAATAAACAGGACCTGGTGACCAAGCAACTCTGAAGAATTAGCTGTCTGTATAACAGGACATTTGTTTTCCATTCTTGGATCCCTGCTCAAAAAGACTTTGCTACAGAGCAAGAGTTATTCTGGAAAGTCAGAAGTTATCCTAATCAAGGCCAAACTGCTAAAAGTGAAACCTTTCCTCACACAGTTCTTTTCATTTACCAAAACCAACATTCAAAATTTCTTGACAGTGCAAACTGTAGCCGTGACATACTACAGTCATCCTTCAGGAAAGTCTACTTCACCTTGGGCTTTCTTTTTTTGGACTGAAGAACACTGGATAGCAAAATGCCGTTCTCTTTCAGCAAAGACTAAGTAGGAGGTGGGGGACTACAGTCTGAGGCATTTTTCTCCGATAAAGACGACAAGCTGAATGAGGTATCATCAGGCTCTGGGGATGCATGATTGAAATCCATTTCTTCTAATTCAGGAGGTAAGTCTGAGAGCAGTGCCTATAAGTAAAAAAAAAAAAAAAATTACAATACAGTATTGGGTAGATGTTTTATGTCAGCATAAAAGTGAAAAAACTCTGTTGAGCTTTTCAGTCAGTGTTGGTACTGGATGGCAAAAAAAAAAAAAAAGGTCAGTGTTGATACTGAAAGGAGAAACATTGCCCAAGATGAGGTATCTTAAAGGCAAAAGGAAAAAAAAATAAAAGCAACAAAATCTCTTCCGAAATAAAGCACAAAATGGTACTGCATGCAAGACATGACCCAACCAAGCATTAAAGGAAGTGCTAGGTATTAAACGCAGTGCAGTGAAACTGAAGAAGCCTGCCCTTTTTTCCTAGCTCTCACATCTTAGATCTAACAACAGACAGATCCCAGTCCCTCAGCGTACACAGGTGCACTGGTTGTCCCTTCACAAAAGTCACACTTCTTTGTCTATGTCATTGTTTGTGTAGACTGCAAGATCCTTCTTTTGTGTAAAGTTCAGCTTTTCTTTGTATGATGTTCAGCACAACACTGTCCTAAACACAGTTTGAGCCTCTAGGCACTACGGAATAAATCCAAGGGAGTGACAGAACACAAAATAACGCCTTCCATTATTAAAACCTACTTCAAGACTTACCTGCTGCTGTTCTTTATCATCTGATTTAATAGCAAGTATCAAACTCCGAGTAAACGTCTGTAGTTCAAAATACTTCTGTTTGTGATTCTCCAACTCATTCTCAATGAATCTGACTTCTTCATTCTGCGGGGGGAAAAAGGACGTAAAAATCTGGAAATAATAAACAGCACCGCATCTTTTTAATGACACCTTAAACATACTTGTGTTAAAACTAAGTGGGTTTAGTGAAAATGAGTAAAAACAAGTTTATTACGATTCTTGCCAAAACTATTAAGTACAGCCTAAAGTTCTATAGTTACAGAATGACAGAACAATGCACGTAGACTTTGGGTACAAGCAGAAGTTCCTGATGAGTGACCAGCACTGTCACCCTAAACCTGCAAATGCGTGTGTGTTGTTTCGTTTGTCATTATCCTCCACAGGAGGTGGGAGAGCCAACCAGGTGACACGCAGACGTGGTATTTCAGAATTACTGTCTTTAAAGCATTAATGACCTGGGCCAAAGTCTACGTGAACCTTTTAAAGAAGCACTGCTTTTTATTTTATAAGGATGACCTCTAATTCCATTTCAAAACAAATTAAAACGAAGCCCAGGGCTCTTCCTAGAAGAAGTGATCCTGAAAACAAAGGGTGACTGTGAGAACTGACAGCAACTAAATTTCAATATTAAAGCAGGAGGCTTGACACAAAGATCAGGGAAAATAACCTGAAAATTCCTCAAAGTTGCCACAAATTAAAATACAGCATCCTCTAGTGCAGCTGAATTTGACATGTATCCTAAAGTGTCAGCTCACCAACCTCCCCAAGATCTCTCAGGTTACCGAATAAATAGGAATGTATTTTAAAAATGGAAAAATATTAATGCTGTGCATGCTGCGGCTAAAAAGGCATTTTTCCAACCTTTGCATACATACGCATTACTGCACTTGCAAATCACTTAATATCAAAATAACAAACTTAATTAAAAATTCAGATTTGAGAAGTACTTCAGTTTATTCCAAATATCTCTTCTCCTTCAAACTTATCAACTGATTGGCATGCAAGATCAAAACGTGAAATCTGTTGATTAGCGTAGAGCTAAAATTAATTTTCTCTGGTTGTTTACCTTTGCAAAGATCATATAACTCTAAATAAACAGTTCACTTTTCAAGATCAAAGTCATTGTACATTTTTCCAAAAAGCGTCTTCACAGTAGCACCAAACGTGCACCCTCTGAGATAATAAATGAAATAAATACGCACACGGGAATTGTTGGCAATGCTCGGTACACATCAAAAGTAAGCACTTAGGTGCACAGATAATTCATGTGAAGCGTTGCGTTTACCAAGGGATGTTGGAGGCAAGAAAAAACCCACCCTTGCTTATGCAACCACATGATTAATGAGGTTGACAGTTCTGCATACAGTATGTTCCTTGATTTTGGTGGCAGCAAATAATTGCGTAAGCAAATTTCAATAGTGAATTTATAAGCTGGCATTTTGTTTTAACGATAAAAATATATTTAAAAAAAAAACCAACACGGAACTATGCTCTGATATTCATGCTCACATTTGCTGGGCTGGCTGTAATTCAACTGTAGCTGATATAAAAAGGTGAGAGTATGTGATAAACAGAAAGGTTTGTAGCAAGCCTTTAAAAATGGTGGTTGTTGGTTTGGTTTTGGTTTTTTTTGGGGGGGTTGTCCGAGAAAATTCACGTTTCTTCAGTTAAAACATTGCTCACCACACTGTTTCAGGTTATAAAAGCTCTGAGAATAAGAGAGAAGTATTTGGGCTGCGAGTTTGAGGCTTTCATAGAAAATTAGCTGAATGCATTTCTTTCAGATGGAAACTTAGCGGTTGCCTATTTAACAATGGATTTTGCCCAGTCAAAGAAAGAATTCAGATTTACGCAGAAAACACGTAAGCAGCAAAGACTAATCACTAATGTCAAACAACAAGCCAACAAACAAGGTTCTGCAGGGCATGCTGTCACAACAAGCCTTTCACTGTGGTGACAGGTGACATTAAGAAAAGGTCATTCCCTCTCCATATTCATTCTCCACTGCCCTTACCAGGAAAACACTGCTTGAAGGAGTAATTTTTTGTTCTGGAAATATGAGCTATTTATTATTTTGGTAATTGATTATCTTTCGTAGAGCATACCTGTTTTCTAAGTAAAAAAAAAAAAAATAAAAAAAAAAAAAAAAAAGTCAGCTACATATATAAAAACATGTTCAGTATCCAACACAGGACTGTGGCAACTCTCAGGAGAGCAGTGACACACACAGAACCTTTACCATCTGGCAGAAGACAGCGGCTGTCAGGTATCCAACGGCTTTTCCTCCCTCCCACACCTCCTGCTTCCACACATGTTCTGCACCACATTGCAAGAACGACTTCTCAGATCCCCCCATTTTATTAGAGGGTTCCAGCTGTTATATTCCCTTCCAGAGCTGGCAGCACCACGCTGCATGGAAAAGCACGCTGCAGCACTCCAAAGAATAATTCTCACGCAAAAAGAAAGTTTTGGTTCAGAGGCTAAACAAACTGCTTTGTCTGGCACATGTGATAGGAGCTGCAGATGGCTACAGCTAAAGTAATGAGCGTAACTGCTCTGTAGAAATGGGATTTTTCCTGCCTCCCTCTGGGTTGGAATACAGGTAATGTGGCTGTAAATGGCACGAGGAGACGTGACCGAGGGTATGATGTGTGGGACCACCAGAAAAGCAGAGGAGCTGCAGGCTCCCACATGGTGGTGCTGATACAGATCCACCCATCTGAACTTTCCGTGGACTACCCTGCTTACTATCATACAGCCCAACTACTCACCTTATAATCCAAAAGAGAACTCATTTGATCCACTTCAGAATTACTTATCATATCGCTTTCTTCATCATCTATAATTTCTATTTTCTGAAACAGAAGTACACGGTTCATTCCAAATATTGAAAAGCACAGATTAGACAGGCAAACAACAATCTGTATCTCAAACTGGCATGAAAGGATGAAGGTAACGGGACCTTTTGTTTGCTCATGAGAAATTCTGAATTGTGTAGCCCCCATTAGATGGCAATCATGCACCTCAGCCACAAGATCCAGGAAGAATCCAAACTGAAGCTGTCGGTACTCAGAGCTGCTGCCATGGTGACTCAGGCTGTTTAAGAGGAGGGGCTATGTATCACCACGCTTTTGGCATTCAGTTCCATATTATATCTCATTACAGCCTGCACAAGCCTGCATTTTATTCTGTAAGCCTTTTGCTGAAGACCTCCTGCAAGGTGAAGAAGGTTATGAAAGTTTATTCCTCCAGAACAAAACAGACATTATGGCAAGTCCTAACTGACCTACTTCTTGCCTAAAAAAAATAATAATTAAGAGGTCTCCTTCAGCCTTCTGTGGCCACAGTGCGACTCAAATGCCTTAAACAATAGAGGATGTTGATGTAAAGGACAGTTCCAAATGCAAACACATGGACATTTTCACTTAATTCACAAAAACTCTCAGGTGCCTTTTTGTATTGTGTTTCTAAAGACACCTAAACTCCAATGTTAAAGGCCAAGCTTAATGCTGTTTAGAACTCAGAAATATATTCCCATCGTATCTCAAGTTTTAAAAGATTCACTTTTACATGATTTACCACTAGCATGTTGTTTTAATTCACAACAGAAAACCTTCTTATGTAAGAAAATTATGGTAAAAGGTTATTTCAGTAGAAAACACAAAGTGCACACATTTTTAGTGCGCCTATGAGGTTTTAATTTTTACTCATATCTAAGCTAGATCTCAAACGCAATACATTTGAGTTAGACAGTGATAAGAATGCCATTTTTCAACAAGAACTCAGAAGGACGACTGCCCAGATGAAACTATAAATTTCACTGTATTTGAGAGGGAAGCAGTGGTACTGTAAGAAGAGGGGGTTGGGTGTTTGTTTTTTTTTTTACTGTTTTTCATTGTTCTAACAGTTGTAAACATCTATGAGACTATAAAATAAGTTAAAGTAATTTTACTACGTTTTTTACTATACTGTTTAATACAACGTAGGCAAGGGCCCACACTGACACAATACTCTTCAAGGTGAGTTCTGAAGGGGTTGTTTTAGAGGAGGTTTCTTCTCTGCAGCATGTGTGTGTGTCTTCTGTCTGCCTGCAGACCAGTCATCAGAAATTTCCTTCCAATCACCACGGAGAAATCCTTCTAGAGTAGGTTAACAGTCTCTCACTAGTAGTACCCACCAAGTATCTGCTGAAGGTAGGGAGCGTAAACCACATTTTCTGTGCTTCAGTGTCTGACAACCCAGCTGAAGTGATAACATTTCAGAGGCTTAATGTCACAAAGATCTGCTGCTATATCATACCCTGAGTAACACTGCGATTCAAATATTTCTGGTTTTAGACTCAGCTTGAGGAAAGAGTCTCTGAATAAATGCCAAACATTCACACTATCTTTCTTACAATAATACATTTTTAAACTAGTAGGGGAAAGAACAGATTAGAATTTCAAAGAAAACCGTATCTCTTATGCAAGTCCAATGTATGCTAGCCCAATTTTAACTGCATACATTTAAAAAAGTGTTGTTACCGTGACAAGAGTATGAAAGAACTACTCTTCTTCCCCCGTAGAGTGAAGAACTAAGTCTCTCGGATATCATCTTTGCAAATCTTTTACCTTTGCCATTTTACATTCTGCATCTCTATGGTAAATGCATCAGCCTGAAACTCAAGAGTGATTATATCTAAGGTCACAGCGGGCCATTAAGGTAAACGGAAGGGAAAAAAGGCAGCTGTTTCTATTCAGGCAACTACAGAAAATACAGCTGTGGGATTTCAGTTTATGCAAAAGATGATTATATATTAACAAAAGAAATAAAATGTTCTCTCCTCTCTATATATAGAGAGGGAAGGGAATCTCCTCTTTGCTCTCCCACTTCAGGTTGCATATGATTAATGTAACAGAAATGCTCTTGTCATGTTCTGAGCTACTGCCGTTTAACCCCTGACTGCACTCAGAGTGCAAGTGGGAACTGGAACCATCACCTCTTCATTCTGCAGATAACTTTTAAGATAAAAATTACCCTACCACTTGGGGTCTTCTCTCCTCTTCCTCCTCTCCTTTCTTCTAATTTGAGAGAGGGCAGGCTAAACAAAGGGGATATATTGCATTATTTGCCACGACTCCTCCCTCTGTCTTTCCTTCCTTGTCTCACTGCAGTCAATGAAACCCAGCAAGAACAACTGTGTTTGACAATGTGAATGCAAGTGAGAAAACAATAAACATCTAAATAATGCCCTGTCAAGGGTATGGGAATGGAAAGTACATACCCACCCCGGGCTGATCTCACATATTCAAGGTAGCTATGGGTATGGGGAGGAAGCACTGGAGATACCTGACTTTCTTAAAGCTAAAGAAAACCATTTTCATGTATTATTCTGGGGTTTTTATCCTTCCTGTTTTACTATACTAGGTACTTAGAGAGCACCGCCCAAGCGTTGTGCTTTGCACTCCAGAAAAAGCACACAGTATTGTTCCAATACAGAAAAAGCTGTATAATTCAACTTCTACTGAATGTGCATAGCTCGATGCTTTAGTACTTTTGGCGCAGTTCCTTTCAGTGCTCAATTAGGAAGGACTCAGCACAATTAGGAAGGACTCGACTGAAGTTTTCACCTAGTGAAAAACACTAGTGTTGGACAACCACCTCAACATGAGGTCACATTAGTGGAAAAGGAAAGGTGTACATACCACATTATCAGTAGATACTGGATGCTGGTCATCATCTTTGTGACCAATTTCTTCATTTTGAAGAGCTTCATTTGCCTCTTCTGCAGAAATAAATTATAGTTTTTCAGATTTCATTCAAATTTTATGCTGAAGAAACATCAATAGTTTTTACCACTAAATAGGTCACATCTGCTAGATACAAAAGCAAAGTCATACTATCAATGTCTATTCATAAAAAATACTGTACGTCTTATTGAAAAAGCCATCAGATCCCAAGTTGTTCAAGCCAATATCATGTCAGTTGCTACCTGAAGCAACAGGAAAACTAGCAGTTACTCTCTTGGAACCTACCAAAACCTTCCTATTTTTAGGTTCAGGTTGGAATATTCAAAAGCGATGAACAGTTTCACATCAGAGGCTTGCAGAACTTTTTTTTTTTTTTTTTTTTAAACTGAAATAAATTATTACATGAAAAAATCCTGCATGCATCCTGTACCCTATAACTGGGTACATATCAGAATCCTACCTCCTCCTTGCAGACCAGTTTTGAACCAAAAACTGATCAAGCAGATTATTTTATTCTTGTATGGCAAATGTTTATTCCTAGTGAACCTAAGATGCTCTCTTATATGTAAGCAAACTACACACTTGAAAACAGCAAATCTTACCCTTAAATTTCAAGCACGAGCACTAGGTGATTCTGTTAGCCCTAACTATGGCCAGTGTGAAAAAATAAGAAAGATAAGCCTATTCATGCCTATCATTAAGTATGTTTCTCAGATTTACTTTAATTCTCCACATTAATATACCATTAAGAAGAAAATGGTTGACAGAATCAGCACACCAGGAAATAAAACACAGAGCAAGACAGCTGTGATAAAAAACTTAAATGATGTCATTTAAGGCTGTTAATTGGAAATACACTGCTTCCAAGATCTAGTAAAATGACACAGTTGTGCAAAGGGCAGAGCTTGCATTAAAAGGGTCAAACAGTCCAGCTATCACATCTAAAGAGGAAAAGAGGCATGGTGAGTGAACAGGCAGCGAGTGTTCATGTGGGATACTGCAAGAGGGCAGATAATGAGGCAGGGATGTAGCACCTGCAGGCAAACGCAGGGTAACAGGATTTAACAGATCACCAACACTTGCAAAGGTAGGATAATATTTAGGCCAGATGATACAGAGACAGTTAATTGTTTTAAGTAACTTTTCTACCAGTTAATCATCTCTAAACTGAGCAAATTTTATTTGAACTTGTTTCCAATCATTTTAATCTGCCACCGGTCACAAGTTCAAAGGAAAATTTCTGCTAGCAGCAAAAAAGCAAATGGGTTCAACTGGAAGAACTGTGAAGCAGGGAGCAATCTATGACCCCATCCTTAACACTCGGAGGAATGAAGGTCATTGAATCTGCACCTCAGGGACTCTGCAACAGTCTAAAGCACCAGCCACTCAGTAACCCTGACTTGGATTCAACAGTCAGACGAAGCAACTCCCTACAGCACTTTCAACTCTTTAAATATTCATCCACAGCTAATATAAACTGGCACAGCTATAATGGCCTCCACAGAGCTGTGTTCATTTACACAAATTATGGATTCAATTAACATACATTTAAAAAAAGGTAAGGCATTATGAGAACTTTAATACTTAATTTTGCATCAGAGTACAGCTTTTTTTTTTTTTTTTTAAATATTTACACACTACACTTTAAAAGCAAGTGCCATCAACACTTTCACTCTAATTAGATGACTAAAAATCTCTTTTTCCTGTCTTTGAGAGTGTTTTGTTGTGTTTTTGTGTTTTGGTTTGGGTTTTTTTTATAAATTAGGACCAAAAGTTACATTAAAACAATCACATATCTGTGACTGAATGGTACACATGATTATTGGTGGAAATATTTCCCAGGAAGTTCAAAATAAGCTGAGCCGCAGCAGTGAAATCTATTCCTTTGAACTGGAGAAATGAATAGAAATAATTCTTGTGGTAAAATAAAGGAACAGAAGTGAGATTCCCGGATGCTGTGGCAATCCTATAGTTTTCTTGCACTTCTTTAAGCTTTGACTCTAATAATCTACTCATAGTCTTACAGCCTTACCTTGTTTTATGAAAGCCTTGTTGAATAAATGTGGTGTTATTCCTCACTTTAAGCTACAGAGAATTCAGACTCTTCCCCTGTCACCATTTCCTTTCAAGCAGATCTGACTAAATCAGTTCCTTCCACACCTCAGGCAAATCAAGGACTCTTTAGATTCTGCATCTCACTTGGCTTTCAATCACTTGACCCATTTCTTTATCATCTTATTCTCTTTATAGTAGAATATGACAAAGCTATCACAAATTCATTCCTAGCAGTTCTCCATTTTTCTAGTCCTCTCCTTTAAATTGTTCAGTCAAAATGACAAGATCAAGTCTGGCACATTAAGCTGCAATAGCATGCACTAGATCAGACTTTCTTTTAGTTTAGAGAGCAAAGGCTTTATTGATCTCTTCTAATCAGAAGCGCTGGGAGCAATTAGTTGAGCTTGTGAAGCTAGTCAAGGCACCAAGTGGCAGTTCATCTGCCCTAGGCCCAGAGTGCTCCTGCACAAGAAGGAAAGGGAGATGGGTTTAATGTGGTCACGCGGTTCGGGGAGGTGGAGTAAAAGGGAATTAAGTTCGAGACACTTATCACTCAAGATCATCCAATTTTCTGAGAACACACAGACACCCTGTATGTGCAGTCTGAGTAGTCCCCTGCTACTGACTTTGATCTTTTCTGTTGGTTTGTATTCGCTTGTCAGAGACCATAAATGCACCACAGACAGCTTAATGGCAGTTCTGCTACGCTCTGACATACTGTGAAGTTCTTTTAGTTCAAGACCAAGTCTGAGCTATATATCTTCTGAATCTATCTCATCAGCATGAGTTTAATATCAGGAAAACTCTAAGTCCATCACTCTGGTCAGCTCAAAGTGAGCAGCTTTGCATACATTAGTGGTGTTTGAGAACTGCTGGTGTCATTCAGGCTAACACGAATGAATATTCAAGCTGGCTGCGTAGAACTGGCCAGTTAACAGCATTTTTTAAAACCTGCCTAGGGAAGTGAGACTTGCACATTTGTACTGTCTGCCCATCTCTCAGTTCCACCAGCAAACCGTGTCATTTAATTTCAGATGAATCTCCAAAACAGGCATCTTATGATAAAAGGTTTCTGCAAGCTTTGTGATAACAAACCCAACAAAATTTGTATAGAGGCAGAAGAAAGAAACCAAATGGTACCTTCAATATAGCCGAGGGAGGTAACTTGTGACTGTTAGACTCTTTCAGACATTTCTGATTGTGTACAACAGAGAATCCAAGCATGCACACTGCATAAAATTAAAAATATATGCACAGTAGTAACTGCATTTTCAAATACCTTGTGAGCTTCCTTCAGATAAGCAGATTGATACTTCATCATTCCTATCATTATCATCCCCCACTTCAGTAGCAGTTTCCTCTCCTGGATTAAGTGCTGATTTAGAAACAAATTCAGATTGATCAGAGAAATCAGCAGGACCTCCTCTAGGGGGTGGAACCTCAATCCCCATTAAACGGTATTTCCGTCTTCGATTCCCAATCCAAGTCTTGTAAGAGAAATAAACATGAATGATATCAGAAACTATAACAAAAGCAACAGGCCCACACCCAAGTGAAATTAGCACATCTATACTACAGGAACAAGTGTAGCCGGCAATTCAAGGGAGGTTATTATTCCCCCATATTCGACCCTCACGAGGCTGCTTTCTGGAGTACTGTGGCCAGGTTCAGTCCTCCGATACAAGGGAACAGGGAAGGTGCACAGCAAAAGGAAAAGAAGCAACAGTCACAAGTCACAGCAAAGGAAGCTCCGAATGGAATTCAGAAAAAAAAAAAAAAAAAAAAAAAAAGTAATGCTTTTACAGTGAGGCATTGGAACAGTTTGTCCATAAGAGTCTTCACACCTCCAACCTCAGAGATATTCAACATTTTACTGGACAACATCCTGCGAAACCTGACCTAACTCTCAAGTCAATCTTGCTCTAAATAAAGAGTAGGACTAGGTGCCCTTGTAAGGTCTCTCCCCCCCTGAATTATTCAATAAATTTAACTTAAGATCTTTGATTCAGGCTCTCTCATCTGCAACTTCCGTAAGGGGACTAAAGCATCGAATGACCCAAACGGCCCATCTGTTCTAGGATTTCCTACAACACGGAAGAACTGTCCAAGGTGACAACTCTACATCATTCCACATTGATGACAGAACACAGCTTGGCAGAATGAAGTTCAGAGCTAATTCTGAGGTAATTCCTTCAGTCCTCTTTGGTTTGAGGACAAGTCTCTAAGAAACGCTGCTTGCAGTAAGCTACGTAAGAGCATACTGTGAACAGTGGTGGGAGATGGAACAGGTCCAGGAACAAGGAACCTGGAAACCCCTTCATGATTGGATGGGTATGGATGCTTTGAGTTCATTTTTACACCAATAAAAATTAGTATCAAAAAAGAAAAAAAAATATCATCACATTCAAAATTCTCCAAGTGGATCTGTACAACTGTTAATTAACTTGCTTTCTCTGATAAAGTCTACACTATTCAAGACTCAAAATAGAGTTTAACATGATGTAGTAAGAATTGTCTGCAACTCTTCACCTCTTAACTCTCTCCCTTCCCTTGCATAACTCAGACTTTTGACTTCTCATCTAACATTGATTCTGCTTAACAGCTCTTGTACCCCAGACACCTCATTTACACCCAAGTCAGTTCTCCACCAGCATCCCAAAATTCTTCTCAGAGTCAGGAATTAATTTCTCTGCTAACTTCTGGCTCTCCTCCCCATTCCACACCATCTAAAACGCAATGAATAGGAGGAGTGCTGACAGCACCAGCGGGACCATCCTCATCGCTCCAGGACCGGACCACACGCTGGCCCAGGACGGACAATGGTGGAGTTTGGCCACATAAGCTGTCTCCATACAGCGTGCTTGGTTACTGCGATGACGACATATGCACAGCATGGTTGTTACTAGGTTCTGAATTGTGCTTAGTGCTGGAATTTCTGGATTGCTAAAAATCAAACATATCTCTAGAAAGCATGGCCAGTTCCAGTTTTTGAAAGCACATGATGAGGGCACGGCAAAATGCACATCTTTTTCCTATGTTGCAACAGAGTTCACCAAACACATTACAATATTATAGGATTTTTTTAAAGATACACTAACCATTACTCTGACTTTATTTCAGAAATACCTGCATCGCTCCTCTTCCTCATCACACTTTCTTTAACTAGAGTTCTGATATACAGCATGCAAAAGTTTAGTGAAAAACTTTTTCTGTATAATACTTTATCAAATAGAAAAATTAAGGAATGTTAACAGCAGTCCCAAGTTTCATGCTGTGCCAGCCCTGAAAAAAAAAATATTTTAAAGCTGAATCTCTTTAGCTGAAAGATTACACGCTTAACACTATTTTTGGCAAATCATTTTTGTTGGGTGATAATTTGCTTTCCCAGTTTGCTGATTTTCCTCTCTGAGGAATGCAAAACAGTTAGACAGAAAGCTACATAGATATTTTTGTATATTATATACAGTTTGGGGAAAAAAAAATCAGAAAAAAACAACCACACAAGCAACCCCTTCCAGACCTATGTCTCCTTTTTACAAACAGCGTATTGCCATTCTTTAAATTTTCTCATAATCTTAGGATGGTAATAAGTAGTGCTAACAACTATAAAATTTAAAAGTGAATCTGCTTTTTTTTTTACTAAAAAAAAATCAGCAAAAAATTGAGGCACTTGGGAGAGGTAGATCTTATCTTTTTACATACCTTTCAAAGCAGGAAATCTTTCATTCAACATACTGAATATGTCATAGACCATGAACATATTTTTATAGCGTCTCAAATTAAAATGGGAAAGCAAAGTAATAAGGTTCCATATCCTGCATGCTACATTTAACAGTGAATATTCTGGAATAGGACAATGATGAGTGTAAGAGCAGACTAGCAGTTCTATGTAGGAAACAGGCTTAATAATTCTAGTTCTATCCCTAAAATAACTATCTCCTTAAAAACTTCAAACACTGTCTGTAAAGTGCATGTGATCAGACTCATTAAACCTACTTACAGCAGCCTGCAATGAACTCAGCAGCAACTTCCCCAGCTTCAGCTGAGCAGATGACCAGCAAGAGCGAGGGAAGAAAGGCTGGAATCCAGGCAGAAGGAGCCAGCATATGTCTACCCTCAGGCAGCTTCTAAGTAAGTAGACTGGCAGGGAGCCACTTAAAAAGCATGATTACAGCTCTCCAGATATTGAGGTTAGGGTGTCAACGTGCTAGAAAGATTCTAGGTTGGAACCTTCAGAAATCCCACTTAACTGAAAAAAGAAAGATGGAAGATTCTGAGTTGTTTTCCAATGTGTCTCTCGATCATAAACCAGATCCAGACTAGGCCTAGAGCCCCCAACAAGAGCAGCCGTTAGCTGTGAAGAATGAGTGGCCTTTCTGCTGCAGCTGCTTGATTTTGCCACTAAACTGAGACTGAAGCAGAACCTTCAATAATCCAGCTTTCACCTGATGAGCTGCTGGGAGAGGAGGAGGTGTCTTTAGCCAGCGGTGGGTGCTTAGGAGTAGCTTTTGACCTCCTATGCATGAAAGCTTTATGCTCTATTAAATAAAAAATAAAAAGTTGTCATGCATTTTTCATATATTCCTCATCTATTTCTGAGGAGTTTGATACTTGTCATTCATCCTTCTCAAATATCTAATGTCTCACTGCCAAGAAGGATATTCTGCTTTTGGATGCTATTTTGGTATGAATGAATAAAATTAGTCAAGAGAAACATAAACAAAAATGTGTAACTAACTACAAAAAAAAAAAACCAAAACAAATGCAGTCAGCAATAATTCTAATGTATGCAAAACAAATATTGTAAGTTTAATGAAGCATTGGCCAGAGTTCACATATTTAAATATGACAGAACTTTTTTTCTTTCCCTCTTTTGGTGTCTTGGGAACAGATGAAAGACATTTCAGGGTGCAAATGTGCGTGATGTTAAGGTAAAAGTCACTTTGCAAGTCTACTCCTACTAGCAGTACAAAACCTATGGAATAAAATGACCTGTTCAACCTTAAAAGATGAAACGCAGTGGAACTACGCATAGTGGCAAATATTATCTTTCCTTGTACTGGAAAACAGATTTGATACTTTCTTTGTACTGGAGATCTTTTAAGGCACTACTAGTCATAAGGATCAATCATTTGTACTTCTGGAAAAGCAATATTTATCTGGATAAATAATGAATTTCCATTTAGAAAGCTATTAGAAGGGAAAAATAGGGATATGTATTAAATTGAATTAAAACAAGTGGTATGTATATATCAATATTTTACAGTTATATATGTTTATAAATATTTATATGAAATTCTATTATTTATGTATTATATTTGTTGTGTGTATTATTTGATGTATATATAATTACTTGTTTTTTATATATATATATATACACATAGTATAATTTTACACACGTTAGATTTTTTTTTTAACATCACAAATGGAAAAACAGTTGCAGCTGCACACTACCTAGAATTCAAGGTACAGGGAAATACAAAGGCAACAAAGTACAAGCACTGAAAGCAGAGAGCTTTTTCCAGAAGCATCCCTCAGTCCAACTGCTGTTGGCTGAGTGGGCAGCCCAGGGTGGAGATGCTGTGGCTCGCTCCTGCCTCGCAGCTGACTGCATCACCGCTGCTTCCTCGCTCCTTAGGAGGGGGAGACTGCAGTGCCCACTAACCTCCAGCCATCCGTGTTTCCTACTGAAGAAAATGCAGGTTGGCAGGTAAGGAGAGAGGCACAGTACCCTGTGCCTAGATAGATCCCAAAAGAAATGTAGAGCACACAATGGAAACTAGCTGTCCTCCAGCTGGGACACACAGTGTGCCTTAGAGAAAGGACAAGCACTGAAGATCACACGTGTCCTGTAGCATTATTTCAGCCCCTACAAACCTAAAAACCACTGCAGCATGGTGCAGGACCAACCTCCACCTAATTCTTGCTACAATCCTCAAGTCTGCCATACAGAGGAACCAGAGGCAGAGGTAGGGCAGATACTGGTAACACCACCAGTTACTATGAAGGAAAGAAATCTTTTTGTTCATTTGTTTGTGTATGTTCTAATAAATTATGCCAGAGAGTTGATCAGAGCCTAGTACATCTACCCTGAAGACAAAAGCATTTCAACCAGGTGCTGTTGAAAGATGTGGACAGAACTTTGTACTGTCATCCTCTGTGTGCCAATAAGGAATTGTTCTTAAGGAAACAAAGGGAGGCGAAGCACAGGGGTCAGTCTTACTGCCCTGTGAATAAGGTATTTCATATCCAGGAGTCCATTTTGAGATGCTGTCAGTGCAAACCTTTCAGAAAGCAAAGCGAAGAGCTTGGAAAATACGGAGCAGCTTTGTTCTCTACAGAGAAAAGAGTAATTCTTTTCAGCCTCCAAACGTACAACCTAATTGTTCGCAATTCACATGTGCTCAGAAAACAAACAAGTAAATAACCAGATTAGTGTTCAACACTGAAAGTAGCTCTGGTACCATTTTGATATACCAACCCACGAGAGATCTGCACAAAAGAGTTTCAAATAAGGGCCCCTAGTTCTGGTTTTGTAGCAATGTCAGAATCTTAAGGAAGAGGTGGATGAAGAGGATGAGGGCTGAAAGGACTAGTCACAATTGTCATGCCTGTTATGAGGGAAAGGAAGACTCCTAACGTTTTTGTGCTGACTGCAAAACCAGCCAGGCTATTTTCTGAAGAATGGAAACACTCTGAGCGAATCAGACACCCACAGTTTGGAGACTGATGGTGCATGTCTGATAACTGGGAACAAACGGAGTGGCAACAACTGATGCTGTACCAAACTTCCCAATCTCGGGATCAGACGATGTGGAACGGTTCTCAGGAAGGAGGTTATCTACACCAGACCTGTACTTTCTAAAGCAATCCTTCCTCAACCACACCTATACAGACTACCAAGTTGAAGTGACCCAGAATTCTTCGCAGTACCCTTTTGCCCTCTATCACATCTCAACCTGGCTCCAAGACAGTCTCGTAAAATACTTTTTTTCCTATTTTTGAGCCTTTTCTTTCATATGTTTACATTGATTTTTTCCAATAAGCATGAATAACAAATATTTTCCCTGTATATTTGGAAAGGCTTTTTTGGATCTTAATAGCAATATAAATAGAACTTTTCAGTGTTCTGGGATATCCCTAAAAAATGTAACACTTTCACTTAAAATCTTACTCAAGTCTAAAGAGAATGTCAAATAGCTCGTAGTGCTACTTCTGCTGCTGATCAATAAGACTCTTACCTGAGGGCTTTTTTCTATATATAGACTGCAGAAAGAGCGAGAGAGCACTTCCCAACATGGTCATTCATTATGTAATACGTGAAATCTATTTCAAGCTTCCTCATGAAATTTTTAAAGGCTTTCATCTGTCCTATTTTTGCTTCTGCGACAAGATAAGGGAAGACTCTAGATTTCTTACCCGCACTATTTCACAGTCAACATTTAATTCTGCAGCCACAGCTTCAATTTTCTCTCTGCAGACTGAGCCCAGGCTGGTCATGCCATTGTCCCAGTATTTCTTTAGGGTAGCTAAGTCTCGGTCACTAAATTGTGTGCGGTCCTGTAACTGTAAGATAAAAAAAAAATACTGTTAGATTTTTTTAAATTCTGCTTATGCTGTTCATTTAATTTCCAGAGGTCTTGCATACAGTAAGACACACATGTTATATACTGTCTCCATGACTCCTCTTCTCTTTTAACTCTCCCTTAAGAATTTTTTTTTTTTTTTTAAGTTTTTCTTTAATCCAGGGGAGTACTGAGTTCCCTGGGATTTGCTTTAAAGGCAATGGCAGTGCTAAGGCAAGTCTAAAGCACTTCAGCTTTGTTCCAACTCCACCTGATTTTTTTAAATTTGTTTTATCTCATTCTATAAGGCCTGACTGAAAAGAACATTTTCCCCTTGTGCTGTTTACTCTCTCCACCCAATCTATGCAAATTATTCCTTAAGGCATTTCAAGTTCCTCACCCTCCCCCACCTAAAGTTCTTTTATCTTACTGCAAACTACAATACATGCATAATTCAAGGGATTCTGGGTTCCTAAAGGGAATACTTTAATGTTTATTTGGTAAGCTTCAGAGTTGAAATTGGTTCTACTGTTTACTTGTGAGTTCCCTAATTCTGTGTACATTTATCAAAATATGTGATAGTGGATTACTGATAAAAGGAGAAACACTGAAAAACAAATCCTAGACATCCTACCACTTCTTGAACTGTCGTGGGCATACAGTATCATTCGCTAGTAGAACTTGCAAGCTTTATCAAAAGCCTTCAGCCCAGAATTTTAACTAAAATCTACCTCTTCTTTATACCAAGCCATGTTTGTCATCTCTCCTGCTATGAGGAGTACATAAATGCAACAGTAAAGTCTGACCTAGTGAGTTGTAGACACATGTGCCAAATTTGTCATCATTACAACAGTTGAATATTGTAGGACATAATAATGATTTCAGTAGCTGAAATCTGGGTTTGCTCATTTAAAACTGTTAAAAGTTAGAATGAAATAACTTTAAATTGGAATAAAATTTTGTAGAACTAGAATCATTTGACAATACAGTTACCAATTTTAATTTGTGTTAATCTTCAGAATATGGCAAACCTTGCACTTTTCTTCTTTTAAAAATAGTTGTTTCTTAAAATGTTAGAGGCACTTGTATCTCCTTAATGTATGAATATAAAATAGGGGTATCAAAACATTATCTCCTTAAAATAATCTCAGGTGCTCCAGTAAAAAACAAACAAAAAAAGTGCCAGTTATATTCAAATACGATCCATTATCAACTGCTACTCCAGAATTTTTTCCTGGTTATCCCTCCATACAGTCAAGTGCAGGATGAGAGAATCTGCTTCCCCCTCGCCCATCCTTTAGCGGAGGCCTCCTGCAGGGTGTGCAGGACGCCCGGAGCATCCCTGCAGAGCAAGGCAGGTGGTTCGGGAGCCCAGGGGCTCGCCACGCTCCCCTCCCGTCCCGCACGCCGAGCACCTATGAGCAGCCACAGCACAGGAGATGCGCTCCCAGATGGCACGCCGCAGTCTATTTTAATCGAAAACGAATCCAGTTGGCACATTTCAAGGCGGCTCGAGGATGAGCAGCGATGTGCAGAAAGTGGACTTCAGCTCAAGAGCACCCAGCTGAGCAAAGCTCAGTCCCTGATGCCCGATCACCCTTGGCAGATGCCGGTTTTCTCTGTAGCCTGACCTGAGCTCCTCCTACCTACAAGCCATTTTTAAAGGACAAAAGTATAGCTATCTCCTGAATCGCTGCAGCAGTATCTCCTTTTATAGCTGTTGGCAAAATAGATGGTAACTTCTGAAAACCATGAGAAGAGCTCTTGCTCTGCAGTCGGGGAGCGGCAGCCAAGTGCTGAGGAAAGGGAAGGCAGAAAGAAGTGTGATAGCAACACAAACTACACAAAGGAACAAGTCACTCTGGCCTATCTTGCTTTCCTGAACGCTCAGGTCAACTTTACCTTCTAAAGTATACTGAGTGTTTTTTAAACATTAATAAATGCGCAACATTCACTGTTGGTTCTGGAGAGTTCACACTGACAACACTGCTGCAAAAGTCCACCACTCACACAGCTTGCTGCGATCCGTACTTATCAGGAAAAGAAAAGAAAGAATTTCTTCAGATTTAATATGCTTACGGAAACCCCCTGGAACATGCTCCCCTGGAATTCTCCCTCCCCAGCAGCAGAGGAGGGAAATGAGAGAAGCAAAAGGAAATCTGCCTAATACTGCTGCAGATGTAAGGGAACAACCCTGGTTAGCGTTGTCTTCTCTCATCCAGTTTATTGCAACAGCCAAATTGGAACAAAACCCAAAGAAAGTACAGCTGATGATGGAGTAAGCTCAGATTTCTGCTCGCCAAATGATTTTCCAGCTATCTAAGAAAATGTTTCTTGTACTGAAAGAATACAGGGCAAGAATACTCGTTAATAGAAAAGCTTTATATTTGCGATATGCAGAAGGATCCCACAGTAGACAAAAGACACAAGTACTGACTACAGACAGAGTTACCAAAGGGATGGTACTGTGGGAAAGGTGCAGAGGCTGCTCAGCTTTTACTTACTAAATACAAAGATTTTAAATGGAGAAAGCAAGGTTTAGCAAAACCACCTGCCCATTTTAGGTGGATATGTTAATTCTGATGAACTACTGCAAATGTTTTAATAAAAATCTTATTGGATAAATCACTATTCAGTGGTTTTCACCTCACAACTGCTATATGATTTTGCTACAAGACCAGGGTTGTAGAGTCAGTGTCAACAGTTTAGATCAAAGTAGATGTTTTAAAGTCATAGGACCTCTCCTGTAGCTAACTTCTCAAAGAAGTCTTTTGCAGCCACTTACTGTGAAAATGGAAAGAGGAAAAAAAGACAACTTAGAGTTGTTGTTTTACCTCCTTGTCAGAAATAACCCCTAGTGTTTCAGGTGACAATATGTATTTTTCCTTTTTGTTGCTGTGGCAGTACTGCCACACCAGGTACTTTATCCTTTCACTCCTTCCTGAAGATCTCGTGCAGCAGCACATGAATTACACTGATACCAATCGCAGGTCAGAGCAGGAAATGGAGAACAAGTTTTTTCAGTCAACTGATATGAAAGAAAAAAAAAAAATCAAAAACCCCACAACACACACCACATGAAAGAGTTCAGAAAGCAGAAATAGAACTGAGGGGAAAAATAGGTGCATGTAAATAGAATATGTATGAAAAGTCAGGTCCCCCTCAGGGTTGAGGAGAGCAGCCTTACTGAGACACCTGACTCAATCACCCTTGCAAACTCAGTGTATTTTCCAGTTAGTACTCCTCATCCCACTTGAACTTTTCTAATTTGGAGTCTGCATCTCATTTCTGTCATTTTTTTTCACCCAGATCAGCACTGAACACAGCCAGGCAGGTAGGAACTGAGCCTCTGAGGAGCTGAAAGCGCTGCCTTCACAAAGGTACATTTTGGCAGCGTGACTGTAATCCAGCTGGTTGGTCTTTGCAGCAATGAAAGACAGAATCTATCAGGTTTCCGGGCTTGAAATTTTAGCAGTGCCCCGAAAGAACGATTCTCGACATTTAAGGGCTCGGATTCACAAAGCAGTTGCCAAAAGGGTAGCAGGGTACTGCCTGTGGAGCGAACCGCAGGAGCTGTCTGCCTGCACGCTCACGCACAGTCAGTGGGAGCTGCTTTATGGTCTCTCGGTGAGAGCAAAGGAAGATCGTTTACTTACCTGCTGCACCACTGTAACGGCATCAGTCTCAACCCTTCTGCTCACTAAATGTAAATAACACTGCCAGCTTGCCAAAAATTTAGATCCAGACTAATTATCTTTGTATAACTGACTGTGCCATGTGCCTTTTCATGAATTTCTTAGGGAGATCACAAACTGCGTTCAATTACAGGATCATCCTCTTGACAAAGATTATACCTAAGTTTGATTCCTGTATTATAAGCTGCTCAAAAAATCACATAATGCTTTTACAAAAGTCAGTGAGAAAATAAAGGGTAGAATTTCTACATTGACCATATAACTACACTTCCATCAATTTAGTTAGCAACCTTTCATTGCTCAGTGTCATCAGAGGAACTGAGGAAAGAAGAGGAAAAACCCACAGTCCCATAAATATCATAAGATTCATGGTTATGCATCAGTTGGCATAGGGAAAAAATATCAAAAGATAATACTTAGAAGCTCCATATTTAGGACAATACTTTCCATTGCTGAACACAACCAAGTAATTCAGTTCTTATTTTTACTTCATTTATGAATACAATTCTTATTTCCTCTCTTCAGATCCCCTGCTTGCTGATTCGAGGCTCAGCTTTATCCTCAGCAGTGTTAACCGTTTGCTGAATTCTTCACATTTCCCAGTTCTGTTGTCCATAGTTTGAAAAGCAGAGAGAAGCTTCTTCCAGCAGAAAATAGACTATCAACTCACAATGAAAAGCAATCCTCGCGAGCAAATTGAATCAGCAGTTCTGCTGAGCACAGGGTTAAACCCTGCTTATCCCCTGACCTCTCGAGTGTAATAACAACATTCTTATAAGAGATGACCCAGTTTATTATAGACATTCCTGGCACTTCGCCGAGCCCCTCATAATACCCACTGTGCATGCAATATTTGTGGTGCAAATCTGGTGTCTATAATTGGTATGAATAATTGCATTGCAGTGGAGTGTCCTTATCCTGCCTTTTATTAGAGCCTGCTTTTTTAGATCAGTTTTTATGCATGAGTTGAAAATGTTTCAGGGCCACATGCACAAAAGCTATACACAATCTTCAGATTATTAATAAAAGACGTTAAAAAAGGAAAGAACTAGAGCTTTAATATAAATGTAATAACTACTGCATTTATGCTGCAGCTGAGCACTGTACGCTGTTAACAAGAAGTTATGTTCATTTACATTTCAGTGAAATCATATTAAATCAACAGTTCAGTTCTGATGCTCTGTGATGGAATGTTCTAAGGTAATGATTATTTCTAGCAAACAAACCTCACAACAAATTTTAGTCCCTACCACTCCGAAACTCTTATCATGGAGAAACAGCAAGAAATCTCAGAGAGAAATACTTT